TTCTCTCTCATCATTGATGTTTCTATCCCTCTCCCTTCCTCTCTGAAATCAATAAAAATATTTTACAAAAAGAAAAAAAAAAGAATGGTTCTTGCCCCATTGGAGGAGCCCAAGAAGAAAAGTTAATGGATAAATACTCAGTTCAAATTGTCTGTTAAAAAACACACACAATAAAACAGGCCACTGTTGTGGACCTGAGCCTGTCTAACTGGCCAGTATGTTACTATTTTAGAACAAGTCAAAACTGGCTGGAAAAGTCTTTTATGCTTGGTCTTCCCTTTTGCTATGGAATCCTCAGTCATTTGTGTGCACTGTCTATATACTGTATGTTCATCTATCTGTGCTTTATACATAAAAAGAGCAACACTTCTCATATTCCACCCCCTTATCCCCCTCCTTTCTAATTAATCATTTCCACCTCCTTGGGAGGTGATGTAACCCTGTTGAAAATGCAGAGCAAGCCACCTCACTCTCTTGCTCCCTTGTCTCTCATTGGTTGGCTTTTCCCCACACCCTGAGACTCCACAGAGAGGGTGCCTCCAGAGGCAGGACTGTGCCATGGGGCAGAGAGGCAGGCAGGAGAGAAGGGGATAAGGTATTACCTTGAAGATAGGGTGTATTGATGGAAGGCATCTCATGGTGGCCATAGCGATAACCTCAGCCATCAAATGTCCCCTCAGAAGATGAGAGAGAAGCTCGTGAAGCTGGAAGTCAGAGCTACGGACCCAGCATTTGGCCAGGAGCCAGGCCATCGGGGATCCGTGGGCAGGAAAAGTGGTGGTGGTGGGGATCCAGTGCGTGGCAATTGGAGCTGGAGGGAGGATAGAGTGTGGGGGAAAGAGGATAAGGGGCCAGGTGCCCAGCAGATTCCCCCCCTTTTGCATATTTCTTCCTCAAATCTGCTTAGCTTTCTCCATCTCACTGCTGCTCCTCCCAGCAGCCACTATTCCTTCTCCTGACTTTCCTACCACTCAGTGCATTAACATTGTACAAGCTGCTCTGCCCGGCCTTCCGCACAAGGTCCTCTTCTACCGACTTCCTGGCCTCCACTTCCCCTTTCACTCCCCTCAGTGTGGACAAGATTCAAACCCTCTGGTTCCTTTATCCCACACTTTTCCAGAAAGTTCAGCTTTTCTCTAATCTTTCAACACCACCCCTATTCAGCTGATTAAGTCTCCAGTTCTCAGCTAGTCACTGGCTAGATGTAACAATTTGAGGGTCTCCCCATCTATAATAATAAAAGCATAATATGCTAGTTAGACCGGACTTCCTTCCGGATGACCTTCCAGACGAAACAGGGGCTGCAAGAGAAGCCCGGGTCCTGGGTGCCTGCCAGTGGCTGGAGGAAAGCCCAGGTGCTGGGGGCCAGTGGGGAGCCGCTGCCGGCAGCGTGGGAAGAAAAGCCTGCTCTTGCACAATTCCGTGCATCTGGCCTCTAGTTACCTCATAACTGCCCAGACAAAAGTCCACCGGAGCATCTTTTCCTCTTTATTTGTCCTATTTCTGCAGGTGTCTTGCCTAACTCTTCCTCTTCTCTATCCTTGAATCCAGGCCCGTTTAATTTTCCTCTGCATGCCCACCTAGCTTTCCTCTGCACCCCCACAGCTATTCCCCACAACTGAGCCCATTACCCTCATCTTGGGCAATTGCTGTAACATGTCACCCTAATCTCCGGATCCAGCATGTTTCACAACAGCCTACATTAGCTTCCTGTGTTCATACTTCTTGATTTGGCATCCACCACCCGCTATAGACGAGGCCCTCTCACCTCACATTACCCCCCAGCATGCCAGCCAATTGTCCACTGACAATCTAACTTCTCACACCCGGTACACCTCAGGTCCTCTGCCCAACCCATCTTCCCCTGGGAGGAGGTCCTGCTCCTTCACCAAGGCTCCTGCCCCCCTCCCCCACCTCCCATGACCCCTCCCACACTATCTCCATCCTCAGGCACTTCCTCGGCACTGGAGCATATTTAGACTTTCCCAGTCTCTCTCTCCAGCTAGACCGCACCTTTCTGCCTTTGCCCATTGCCTCCTTTGCTGCCACCCCCAGGGCTTTAGCACAGGGGAATCCTCAGTGAATTTCTGTGAAGGGCTGAGCTGAGAGGGCCAACCACAGGGGAGCAGAAATCCTGGGTCCTCTCACCTGGATGACCATGGGCAAGAGTTTCCCATCAGGCTGCAGTTTCAGCATGACCAGAGGGGCAGCCAGGTATTGCTGGCTACACAGGATGACGCTCGCCTTGATCCCATCCATCAGGGAGAAGTCGGCTTCAAACAGCGTGCCTCCCTGGATGGGGCAGAGGGCGGGGCTATCAGTGTAAGGCATCTTCTTCCCACCCTGATTCCCCAAAGGAAGAACAAGAAGGAAACTAACTTATCCCCATCACCTACTTTGTAACAGGCAATGAATCACATGCTATGGCCTCACATAAGTCTTACAAGCACTTGAATCAACTCCAGTTTCATTAACCCCTTCCCCGGCAGAAACGTGTATACACGTTTTCACAAAATGTTCTTTTTCAGTCGTCGACGAGTATACTAAGTAAATATGGTAAAAAAGTATGGTTTATAGGAAGACGAGTTGCAAACTGTTTTCATAACCAGCATCAAAAATACTATATAGAACCAAAATAAAAAAATTAGTCTGAAAAAGAAACGTTTTTAACAAAAAAATTGTTGGGGAAGGG